TTTCCAACCTTAATGATTCTATGATTAATAATGATTCTATGATTAGGCTAGATATCAGAAAGAATTTCTTCACTGAAAGAGTGCTCAGGCATTGGAACAGGCTGCCCAGGGAAGGGGTGGAGTCACCATCCCTGGAGGTGTTCAAGAAACGTGTAGATGTGGTGCTTAGGGACATGGTTTAGTGAGTTAGGTGGTGTGGGTTGATGGTTGGACTTGATGATCCTTGAGGTCTTTTCCAACCTTAATGATTCTATGATTCTATGATTTTGCTGAATGCTTTTCTTTAATAAGTTGCTCACTTTTCAAATTCCCTGTGCAAAGAAGAAAGAACATGAATTTTTGGCAGGACTGTTGGATGTTTCCCAGTAGCTATGCTACTCATCATTATTATAAAAGCAAAAGCAAGTAGACTGAAAAGAGTAAAGTTCCACCATTAACATCTTCCAACATTGATAACCTTTGCAGTGCATACTGGATAGACGCACAAAATATTTTAAGCAGGGGGCAGATGGGGCTTTCAAGGCTAAAGTATGAGAGAATGCAAAAACAGCAATTGCAAAAAAGTGAAAATTACAGGGTGTGTAGAAGGGACTTTTATCGGGAGACTTCTCAATACAACATAACTTCAATCAACATTATTATCTAACAGAAATTAGATGTGGGCTAACTTGGGTAACTCATATTAAAAATCTAAATTTTCAATATTGGAAGTGTCAGATGAAATTTCTTTCCTGGGATGAATACTGTCCTGGGTCCAGCTGGGATAGGGTTAATTCTTCGCAGAAGCTGGGAGTTGGGCATAGCCTCTAAATTTTCAATATTGGAAGTGTCAGATGAAATTTCTTGCCTGGGATGAATACATAAAGAGTTTCATCCAGTCATGTTTTCCCAGGAGATATATCCCCTACTTGGACTGTTTCTCCCTGCAGCCTGTTCCTACTGAGCTAAATCTAGGTTAAAATCCAGGAAAGAAAACTCTGGGGGGAAAAAAACAACAGAAAAACTCTTCCATGAGATGGGAAAGGCAAGGAGAATGTCTTCATGGTGAAGAGAATGAGGACAATATAGTTCTGTGAAAACAGGAAACTGCAGGGAATGAATATCTGAGCAGAAAAAGGACCGCAGGTTCTTTCAAGTCACGTAGCAGTAGCATAAGACTTTAAGAGTCAAGGACCACATGCTGATTCTTATCTCCTGAATGTAAAGCAACAAAGGGAGGAATTGCTTGCATTGTTGCATGTGGCACCATTATCTTCCTTTAATATATATTTCTGCCACTTATGGTCCCTTACAAATCCCCGAGTCCCAGTTAACTGTCATCCAATGCATTATACCAATACAGCATACTGCAAAACTAAGCCCTTAATAGATTTTTAGATTGGTCAATGCATAGAAAACTATTTTCTTTTAAAAAAGGAGACAGTCAGTGATCATGCGCAAAAAATACAAAATAACTTCTCTTATGAAACACATTGATGTCATTTCAGTGGGCACTACTACCATGAAGAAACAGTTGATCATTAATCAGCCATTTACAACAAGGGCTCTCTGAGATTTTCAACAGAGAAAAGTAAACAAAATAATTTTCCTCCCAAAAGTAAAGCAAAAAAAAAAAAAAAAGAAAAAAAGAGAAAAAAATAAGTTCAGTATTGAGTGATTATATACTTGTAGAGACTTACTTCAGACAAAGCAGCATCCCGTTGTTCTATTACTGCATTCATTTCCTCAGCTATTATTTTCTTTTTATGTTCTTTGGTCCTGTGTATTCGATTCAGAATTATAGCTCCATTCTTCAGTATATCTGTCCCTGTGTCTGCATTGTTTATTCTGTTCAGTAATTCCTGTAATGTCTACCAACAGCATTATATGTTAGTCAGACATGAAGTTTTAATATATTTTATTTAATATAGGGTTTTAATTAATAGGCACATGTGAATTGTAAATTGACTGAGTGAAGTTATTGAATTTTCATATTGCAGCAAAGATGTACATTATTAGTGTGTCAATTCTTCTTTTTCCCACATCTTAGTTCTTGAAACCTACTCAATTGAACTTAAGCCTCTAAGATATAAGACTGACATCAAGAAATCTCCTCAGAGAATGGCTTACCATGTCATTTTCTTCAGGGTTAATATTTTCTAGCCTAGAAAAAAGGGACACAGAAAGCCTGATCAGTAGCATTTCCTTAGTGCAGCAAAATGAGTTCGCTTTTTAAATCTTTAGAACCTCAAGTAATTTCATTCTACTAGTCTTTAGAGTCAACCACGACACTGAACATATTAAAGTGCCACCTGCTCGACTCCATCTTTCAATAATGCTCCATATCTTCAGCACTGACTTCAGACTGTTAAGTTATTAATGTTTACTGCTATATATGACTACAAGGATCAATTGTTCATATGTGCTTAGATGAAGAAAGTTCCCCAGTGATAGAAATGACTGATGCTCTTATTTTATTTATTTCTGGGTTTACAACTTTTACCTGACATTGTATTTTTGTTGTTTTGACTGCACCCCAAATGAAATAGGACAGGACTTTTGTGAAGAGTGGCTTTTTCATTTTTAAGTAATTCTTTTCCACCTTTGTCTTCCAAAATGAGGAAAAAAAAATAGCTTAAGTTTCCTTAAAAATATTTTGATTTTATATCTTGCACAAAATAGCAAGCTAAGCCAATTCTCTGCAAGGCCCTTATTTAATTCTGGAACAACCCCCCCTGCACTTTCCTCCCTTTCTGTTTCAACAGAACATATATTGACCTGTCAAATACAAAGATGATATGAGAATTTAGTCATACAGCACTGAACACTGGCTGCAAAAGCAGCAAGTGACAGCACAAAAATCTAATAAATGGGATAGTATGCATTTTATTTTACCTAAGGTTAGTTATATGCACTGTATGTTATTTAAAACACTTATGTTTATTTTAAAACAGAAGAGATCTATTTTCTGGAAAAATGAGCATATTAAAATTACCTTACCACTCCATTGTTACTTACTTAATGGTGACTTCTACTAAAACTAGGTCTGTCACCAGAATACGATATTTTAAAAGACAGATATAATACCATTAAATACAGATATAAACCATAATACCTGGAAAACAGCAACACACACTTTTTCAACAGTGCTGCGACAGGTGCTGCTCTGAAAGCAAGATATTAGCTAGCAAACATCATACAGCACTTGACAGCACACTAGCACCTTTTACATTAAAGCATTAGTTCTACTAGATAACAGTACGTAAGGCATAGTAAATCAACCTGTAGAGAAATTAATTATTTAAATAAAAAAGAAATAATTCAGAATGTACTACCACTGTACAACAGCTGGTATATTTATATGGAATTCACAAGCAGTAACTACTCTAATATACACAGTGAGCACCAGAACTAAACAAAACAAAGTAAAAGCTAACTTTTGCTGGGTTCAACTTGTGTTCATAGAGTAACAAAAATAATAACACATTATATGTCCAAATTCTCAGAACTGGCTCCTTGACTTGGCTCCTTGTAGAGTTCCTGCTTTAGGTTTTTACATTGCTCTAAGTGCCACTTCATGTGGGACTTAAAAATGGATCTCCAGCTAGTTTGTATTCACAATGAAAGGAACGGTATTTGTCAAAGTAAATTGGCAGGCCTGACCCGGCTTCTCCAGAGGACTTCTACCTGCTAAAAGTGTAGGTCAACAAAATCAGCCCGAGCAACAGGCTGGGTAAGCACGACACCTTAGAGAGAAATGGGGGTGGGAAAAAGAACAGAAACTTCTACCATAAGTGAAGAAGCCCTTCAGCATACTACCGCCACAAGGGATATGTCTGTAGGTGTATGTACGCCTCCTTAGGTGACAGTATTTTTTAAAAAGCAGCATCCAGAGATTTGTATTTGCCCTGCTGCCTCTCCCTGTGCTGTGCACAGCCAATAAATGACCCTTAGATCTCTCATGATTTTAAACAGCAGTAACCAAGGATTCTTCTTCCCCCCATTTCTACACACATTCTGCCAACATAGACCCTAGGGCTAATAAGACTGAAAGAATTTTGGTTGTTACAGTTAAATAATGACAACAGAATTGCTCCAGCAGCTAATTTAAAGAAAGCATTAAAGCATTTGAGAAAGGTTGGCAGGCTGTTCAACATTGCCCTCTTGTAAAGATCTCTGATTGGAATAAGTCCAAAGCAGATGGAAGGAGTGACCTGTGCTCTAAAACTTGATGAGTGTGGCACAAGTAGCCAATGTTCTTTAAAAAAAAGCCAAGCTTCTATGTGCTCCACATCTGAGACAGAGAACTTGACCTTTCAAACAACCAGCATCAGGAAGAAAATATTAAGGGTGGTAGTTGGAAAAGTTCGAAGATTCCAGAAGAAACTCCAAAACTAAACAAAATAAACCAAGTCCCTCAAGGCTCATCCCATCATCTCTGCTCCTTCCAAAGCATTAGTGGAGTGGTGAGGTGAACTCAAAAAAAATTTCCTTTCATCCACAGTAATAAACTCCTTAGAATAAAGAGGTTGAGAAAAGTAATTTTCTCATGGGGTTGACTCTGTTTTTGAGAATGCAGCACCTCAATTTGACTCTTCTCAGTCACAGCCCTGGCTTGCTCCTCCCATTGCAAAATGCCAGACATCCAGGCAGATATAGAAATGCGTGTCTCGTCACCAAAGCTGAGATGTTAGCACAGTTAGTAAAGGTGCCCAGTGTTCTGAAAAGCCTGAGTGCTGGAGCCAGACTGGTGTTCCATCAGGAATCTTGGCTCCACTCAACCACTTCTTGTTTACAAGGTGTACGGCTGCATGAATAAGCATCCTGGAAGCTTAGAATAAGTGGGCCAGAAGAAAAGCACCTGAGCCTGATGGAGGCAATCCTGTCTTTTTGCTTCTGTAATGCCCAAAGATTTCAAACACAGCAAGAACTTTCTTCAAAAAGAAGAACACGCCACCCCTCAAAACAATAATCACAACAGAAAATGTTTCCCTGTACCATACCATTCCTCTTTTTGGAAGAAACAACACATTATCCAGAAGGTGCTGTCACACAGAGGACTGATATGGGTCAGGAAAGATCTGTGGTCAGCTTGACCTTGGTCAGGTTGCACAAATGGTTGGAATCACTGTGGGCTGAGGTAATACTGAATACAAATTGGTGGAATAGAGAATCTGTGAAGTTTCTTACATTGTCTGATATGGCTTAAGACATTCTTATCAAACTTGCAGTTTGGCCAAATGGGTAGCAAGGTAAGGAAAGAGGCAGATATTAAGACATCTGATGCAGTGAACATGATGATTACTTGAACATAAAGAATTAGCTTTTCTCCCTTTCAGGGGATTACATATGGCAATGAATGCCCACTAATACACTACCCATTAAGTACTTGCTGCATGGATGATTAGCAAACTTTAACAAACTTTACAGTGGGATGAAGCTTTTGGGCACTCTGCCTTTGTGGCTTTTGTTAATTAGGATTTTTCTTTTACTGCTCTGATGACTGACACTAAAACCAGAAATGAAATTAAAAGCATGTAATATATTTCAGAACCCTTCAGCAACATCTTTGTGTCCCCTGGGAGGCATAAGCCTGTTTGGGATCTGCCTAAGGATTTTGCTCACGTCCAGCATGCCCTCAGGGACAAGTCACACCACACCCAGGATGTGAAAGACTTGTATATGACCCTTCCCAATGAGCTGCCATTGCCACAGTCAGTCTCTGTAATGCAGAACTGTAGACCCTGGAAAACAGGGGAACTATGATCTTACAGTACACATGCAGCCTGGCAAGGAGAATTCTTTTGAATTAAATTGGTTTTGTCCCCAGTCTTGTGTCCTGGTGTTGGCTGTCATGACAGCAAATATCACAAAGAAGCCTTACCTGCACCCTTGCAGAATATACAGGAAGAGATACTAGTACAGACAGCGGCTCACTGGTTTAGGCAAAGAGGAATGTAGATCAGGTACTGAACCAACCGTAGCTGGTTAGCCAATCGCAATTTTTACCTCTGTTGTGTTGGTGCTCTCCACAGGAAAATCTCCTTATGACAACTTGGAGACTGTGAATGCTATCAGGGTATCAGCCTCTTTGTAAAGCATCAGGAAGAGCACCCAAGTGGATGACAGCAATAACAATTGCTATTCTCTAAATTATAGCAATAAGGTATAATAGCTTGGCTTCAAGCTATCAGCCAAGGGAGTTACTGACCCTTCTCCTTGGAGAAAGTACCTTTTTTTGTCATTACCAGTGTATCCACTGCCTTCTGCAATTACATTCTTTTTGGGGAAGGTAGTATGCATGTTCTCCAGGAACTTGAGTTTCTTCTCTTTTCTCATCCTTCTGCTTAGAACTGAGTTGGTCTTCCAGTATATGAGTGAAGCAGACAGAAAGGGTTGAAGTGAAAACAAGTTATGGTGTTCTGAGGGATTCCTGTATGTCAAGACCAGCCACATGTGTGTCTATGTATTCCACTGCAGAAAAAGCAGCAATAGGCCTCTCACACACATAATAACCTGTGATTTCTTCCAGAAGCCCAAAAGTCATTGACTAGGTCTGTTGACCAGAATAATTAATTTGCTGCAGGACTTGAGTGCTTTAACCCCAAATATCTTGAGTTTACGCTAACAGCTCATACATAGTTTCATTTGATGTTTGGGGGCCATACAAAACTTTCTTGCTTTCTTTACTTTTGGAACATACAAAATTAGAAGAGTGACAGAAGACATTGGAAAGACTGGAGTAAGGCTCATGCTTATAATGATTACTGTTATGGGAATTTAAAGCACATTTGTAATTTCCTCAGAGATTACTGCTCAAAGCAAGGTTTCACATGCACATGCACCTATAATGGAACCTGTAGAGACACTTACTCTAATAAATTGTGCACTAATCTTCCTGTTGAGTCTTACTTACAGGCTGTGACAAACTAGTAGCTTTTAAATTCCACAGAGTAATGGTGCACAAACTATGTGCAGATTATAGAATTTTATTTAGATAACATCCTCTGGCCTTACCTATAAAAATACCCAAAAGAAGATGACTGGTTTTCTGCCATAAAGAGGAAAGAGTAATCTTAGTAGAATCAATTATTTAAAATGTAATTGCTTGCCATTTAGCTAACTAACAACTGCACCTATTCTGTCTCCTACCATGAAAAACTTCTCTGTTTGCTTTGTAGTACTCTTGGCAGAAAAAATATGATAAAATTCTCAGCCACTCTACAGTTTGGGGGAACTAGCATTTGGAGGACTACCGTAGATGGTAGCCAAGATGATCACAACTTGGATGGAGAAGGATTACATGGAGAGGCAAACTGTAGCTTCAAAACTGCCTATATCCCGAAGTCAGAAGAGAAACTGTTCTTGATCTTCCTCTCCTGACGTAACGGTTTTGTTTAACAAGAGATTGCCTATTTCTGTGGTGTTAACATACATAGAACTCCATGAAGTATTAATTACACCTTTATCACCTTATAAATCGCTCCTACTAAAGATAAGAAAAAACCTGTCGTTAGTAGAAATTTTGCTGAAGGAAATGTCTAGTGGGCTTAAAGGCTTGATTGATTTCCTATACATTGCAACTTCTGACTGACGTTCTGGTACTGTGTGTCAGACGATCCCTATAAAATGATGCATTCATCTTACTTATCCTTGAATAAATCAATACCAAAGCTTTTGATTGTATTTTAAAGTTTTGTGACCAAAATTATTCACCTTGCTCTCAGTCTCCAGGGAGAAATACGGTCTTATAAGATGGCTAACGCATTAACCAACAGCACAGTAAGACTAGCACTAGCCTGATATTTCATCATAGAGAAGTTTGCACTAAGTTTTCCTACACAACCACTGTTGAGCAGTTTATGACAGTCACAGACCGACACAACAACCTTTTGGCACAGGGCAGGAAATGTATACTTACTCTTTGAGAGACTCTTCTAAGCGCTGGACTCGTAGAAATGCTTCATCTCGCTCTTCATTGGCTAACCTAAGCCTTGCCATGACAGCCTCGTCACGTTCCCGTTGAGCAGAATAAACTTCTTCCACCAGAGCTGCAAAAGTAGCCAGTGTGTTTAACAAATGAGTTTGACAGGGAAAGACGCTATTAGATACACTTACATGGGCCTTTGCCACCATCTCCTAAAATCAACATTTCTCCACTGACCTCAGATTACTCTGAATAAGGTCTATGTTACTCTTCAGACACAACACTAAATTGCTGTTGATTGCTAAAATGAATACTTTAAGGAATGAAATAAGGCTATGTGTTTTCAAATTCACTCCTCTATAATCAAACAGGGCAAGGAAGTGATTTTTTTGCATTCTGAATACTTGCTTCACAGAAAAGTAATTCTTAAAGCTCAAAATCATACGAGACACTAGTAGGCTTCTTCTAGGATATAGAGTTAAAAGTAATGATCAATTGAAACTACTTCAGCCATCACACTGTTTCCTATCAGAGTGACACACTGATATTAAATATTAAAAATTCTAATATTTTCATAGTCTGTCTCTGTTATCACAAGACTGGCACAGCTGGCATCTCTCCTTTTCTGCCAAGCCTTTACTTTATTGTGTAATATACTGTTATATTACCTGTTACGGCATACACGGACCTTGGAGCACTAGGTGCCAATAAACTAAGATTTACTGTCTATTCTTGGGAGCAAACTAACACCTTCAAGCCATTCCTCATCCTGAATACGTTTTCTTCCTGCCTTTCCCCTGTCAATATGTCTAACACCATCTCTGGCATACCATCAGAATCCTTACCTCAACCCTGTCCCCACTAAAATCTTTATTCATACTTTCATAATTTCCCTCAGCAATACTGAAAATCTCTCCTCACAGTCATCACAAAATGCTGCAGTCAAAATGTCTAGGGACTTTCAGGGTGCCATACCAAGACTGCTGTCAGTCCAAGCCAGTGGACTATCCTCTCTGATTGTCACAGGCACCTCCAAAAAACTCAACTGAGATATGTAGGTTCCAGAATTCTCCATGCTCCCCTTCTAGTCTGCCTACCTGGTGTTTAGTCAGTCTTCTAACACCATGCTACAGTCTCTTCCAAATTTTGGAACCTTCTGTATTAATCCATTGCTGCTCAGGTTCCTTACCCCCTCCGGAACTCTCTGCTCCTCTCTGAACCACTGCTTAAGTCATTAAGTTTAGATCTCAAAGAAAGGCTTCCTCCCTCTTCACTTTAGGCTAGAGATTTTATCCTTCCATTCTTACCTCAATAAACATCAACTTTGTTGCCTTTATAGGTTAGTTTACTCTTGCCTCACTTTTGTACATTATTGCACAAAAACTTTAGTGTGATATATCATCAAACACGGTACGGTTCTTCACAGAATGGAACAATAGCAACATAGTAGTACATTTTAGTAGCAGCTGCATTGCTGGCACAAAATACAACTTATCAGTACCGAAAAGACCCCAAAATTCCCCAGCCAACTGAAATACAAATAGTGGTAAGTTTCTGTACAGTTTACAAGCAGCTCAGATAACCAGGGATGTAAGACAAGTTAGAAGACGAACAGAAAAAGAGCCTAGAGAGACAAATTAGGAAGATGTTAAAGGTAGCTGTTATGAAGAAAGTTAACTCTGTCTCAGCTTAAACCAGGACAGAAAGCAATCATCTTGTCCTCAGGCTGGGGAGAAGAGTGCTACTGAGGAGTAAGGAAGCATTTTTTCAAGGTCTGCCAAAAGGTTGCATGAGATGAGCAGACTGGACAAAAGAAGACAGGGAAAGGCTAAATGTCACTTCTGGAAGTGCAGTCCCTCCCCTCACAAAAATCTGCAGAGCTGCAAGCCTAGTCATCAGGCCAGAGCTGTAACAAGCTGTGTTCCCCCCTAAAAAAAAAAAAAAAAGGTACACAAAATGTAACAAACATTGATCTATTTCTCTTCTATTTGAGTATTTACTTGTTCTGCAAGAATAGTGTCTCTTTTATTGAAGACCTATTTCCCCTGTTTGCATCAAGAAAGCTTTGCTTGATGTCAAACGGAAAAACTAAGGCAGAAGTAAAGCAGCTGTAAAACTGCATGCACACAGATTGGTAGTCAGGAGTAAATTTGTAGCACTTGCAGAGGATGAGTCCAATATCTGCAAAGGTAAGTGGCTCAGCAAGAACAAGAACAAACTGTATGAGGTGGGCTCACCAGACTTCCACTTAGGTTGCCATCCCTGCCATCTGTGATGGCTGGGAAACTAGCGCCTCAGCATTGACTGCCTGGGTAAACTACAATGCAACTGCTATGTCCCAGCTGGATCTGAAATACACAAGCAGTTTAATTCTCTATGGTAATTACTACCTATCTGTACCTAATATATTTCTTTATTACAGTTTTTCCAGTAAATTATGTCAGGTTATCTAGCATCATGCCAGAGACACTGCACAGAGAACCCTTTCCATAAAGCTGCAAGTGGAAACATTATGCAATTTTCATAATGAAAACAACTGCTGGAATGAATAGAAAGCTGTCTAAAATAACGGAAGATTTGGCACTTATTACTGTTCTGGGGTTAATTAGTTTCCAAATCAGTTAACTTCTTTCTGGTCTTTTTGAGTGCATCCCTTCCTCCGTCAGACCATATAACATTCCCACCTCAGCACAGAAAACCATAATTTGCTGACTGCTACAATGGATCTTGAGCATACAAGTACACTTAGAGGGACTGTGTTTTGGCCTATCTGATCTTCTCTCTGTATAACTATAACCAGTGGTAATAATGACTATGCAGGTTTCTTAAAACCAGATTATTACTTACTTGTCCTTAAGCCAAAGTAATGGATATGTAACAATATGAAAACATTCAGAAAAAGATTTTTTAAAGTTACTTAAACATCCTGCTTGTCTCAAATCTTACCATCCCTGATATTATTAGCCCAGAGCCTAATTGCCTTGAACAGTGAACCCTTCCCCCACCCAAAGGTCCGCTACAAAATACTGTCTTTTAACTATTGTCTATAGAAAAGTGACTTAAATTGAGCAATGAATTCTTGTTGTTATCTTACCCTTCCTCTAAATTAAGGCATTGGAGTAAGTATCCCAATGAACAGATCCACCAACTACATTAAAAAAAATTAGAGTAGTTTAACATCTATTACAAGGGTTTGGCTTTTGCTTCTATTTCTTAAAAGTAATATTGCAAGTTAATTTTTTCATATTAAAACAGATTAGAGATACTGTAAAAAAATAATGAAAGATGCCTGCATGGTAAACTAAGGTTAAAAAAAGAAACAAAAGAAAAAGAAGACAGCTACATGGCATTTTAATAACATGTAGCAATACTGACAGTGACCACAAGAAATTACTAATTTAAAAAATACTTGAAGTCCTCATCTGAATAATTTTACGGTATACGGAAGGCTAACTCACGTAATTCCTTTACCAGCCAAAGCTTCTGCTGACATTTCCATTATCCAATGCCTGTACATTTCTGTCTCTATTTAATAGTTCACAAATTCCTTTTTTTAATATGATACGGAATATTATAACAGTTACACAATTGCAGATAGTCTGAAGTATGATGTTATTAACAACAACATTCACCATTCAGATTGAGCAATGGATGAGTCACAAGTAAAAGTTCAGGACCATAACAATCACAGGATTCTTCAAATAGGCCACTGAAACACATACACCTTTGGGTTGCAATGTAGCTGCAAACCAAAACATTTTTTGTCGGACTTAGGATAGTATATGAAGTATAAGCTGTCCAGTGAAAAGTCTATGTGAGAGAGTGACATAAAAATCCTCCATATTATAAAGAGTAAAGAATATCCAGATTATCATCCCAATGCTTCTTAAAAATTACAGGTGAAAATTAATTGAGAGTAAGAAGTCAGGCTCTGAAGTCCCATTCAAGATATGGCATATCCAGCAAAATATTAGCCCCATACTGGCACACTGACTTGATGCCTGATCCAATGAAAAAAGTAATCTGGCTACTTAGTCACCAAATGCTCTGGTCGACACAACGAGGTTTTTCTTGGAGACATTCCAATGGCACACCAACCATTCCTATCCTATTTGAGGCCTGACCAACAAGAAACACAAATTCTTACAGAACTCATGTTTCAAGCAAGAAAATTACACACAAAAATGAAGTACGAATAGTCAAGTATTAAGCTAAAATGAATGGTGTCATTTACTAATTAATATATACATAATGACATTCAAAAATTAAAATATTTAAATCTCAGTGCTAAATTGAGAAAAAAAGTATTATTTTCCAGTGCTTGCAAACATTGTAATATCCACAAACATGACATTACTATTTAGTTGCATAAACTTTATTTGCTTTGGAATAATTTAATAACATCTTTCTCCTTGTAACTAAAACCCATGCATACTCTAAAAGAGCTCTTCATTTTAAAAGAATCATTACGCTAAACTCATCAAATCTAAAACATTTTTAGTTTTTAGGAAAGAAAACAATTGTAAACAGAGAGCTTTTGTAAGGTAGATAGCTATTACAAAGTTCACTTAGAAAATCAATATAGCATTTTAGCTGGAATTTGCTCATTAAACACCCACAGCTCTAATGCAAATTATGATGGAATGAATAAAGCAAATACATATGCTTCTTTCTTTTTATTAAATGTAAAATCTACTGTTAATTGCATCTGGTATGTCATATAAACTTTTCTCCTTAACTATTAAACGTAAGCTTTTACAAAAGTCATTAGAGATTCTCTTTCTTTGACTTGTATAAATTTCAATATTTGTTCAGTAAAGGTTCACAGCAGTTAAATTACATTAACAAATATTATTAGCTACTATGTAAGCCAACTAAGTAAAATACTTATATTGCAGGTAAAACAAATCAATGGGTGTTTACAATAATATTTGGATATGTCCATTTTTAAACAAGCTTATCAAATATCATGTAATTCTTAGTCAAATGAGAGAGACTCAAAGTAGATTTTTTTTTTCTTCCCAAATACTCAAATTTGTTTAGTAAGCTAATTGTTTTCTAATATGGGCAAAAGTAAATATGAAGAAGATGAACCATACTGAGTATGAGTTTACTGAGTCAAAG